GAAACCGGCCGACGGTGCAGCAAGACACAACACGCGCAAGACAATATAATGTTGAAATTTCCGAGGTGGGCACGCGAGAATCGTATGCCCCATCGTACGAGGTGCGCTTCAGCGCACTAACAGTCAGCGTGGCCGAGTGGTTAAGGCGTCAGGCTGCTAACTTGATGGGTTCTCCCGCGTGCGTTCGAATCGCATCGCTGACGATGTTTTGGTCGCACGCCTCCTCGAGTTGGCGGTCTGGGACGGGGAAGCGGGCAGGGAGTGCAGCACTCATAGGTGTTCCAGAGCAGAGCCGTGGCTGGTGGCATGCTGAGGATGTGTGGCCCCTCTGCTTGAGTTTCCTGGGAACAAATTCCTTGGGCCAGGCACACCACTGTGGCACATTTGAAAGGCCACACAGTCACTCCATGGTGTATGCAATCTGGCGGCAGTGAGCCATGCGGTGAGCGGTGACGCGTACTTGTTTGACAAGCGGCGAGCGGCGGGGCATGCAGGCTCACGCAGGAGCCTCTTGCAGTCTGCACATGGCATATGATGCAGCAGATGCAGAATGAAGAGAAAGCTTACAAGTTGCTTGATTTTGATTTTCTTGGTGGCTCTGTGCTTGCTGATATTGTTGCCCCTTATGTGTATGCTTGCTGGCAGATCCGTTGGAAGTTTAGGAATGAGGAGGTCCGCTCTGATGAGCGCGAGGCCGATGGCAGTGATGCTATGGTATGAGTAACTTATCTATCTATCTATCTGCACAAGGTGCAACCGGAATAAAATACTGCCTAGCCAGGTCCACCGGTTCTTACCCTTTTGTTAAAGCATTGCAGGGCAACCGGGTGCAGCATGACGCGGCTCCAGCTCGGTCACAGCCTGTGAGCCTTTTAGCGCAATAACAAGGGTGCACGCTGCGTGGGCGGGTGCTGGTGCGCAGGTGGCGCCCTGGCGGGTGCCTTAGTGGCGCTGAGCTCCATGAGTGTGCAGAAACACCGCAGTCCGTACGGGGTGGAAAAGGTGTTGCTGAGGCTGGGCAGAAGGTGTTCTGAGCTTGGCGCGGCGCGGCCTCTCTGGTGTCAGTGCATGACATACACCTGCCGAATCACCCAGACGGCAAGCCAGTGTGCCTCTCGGCCAGTGTGATCGATGCGCGCCAGCCTTATGCAGCATGCTGTGCAGCGCCGCACACACGGGTCGGACATTACATTACATTACATCCGATGTAAAAGCGTGAGTCGCGCTTTTCCAGCTGCGAGGGGAGAGAGCTGCGCCTCCAGGTTAGCCAGCTCTTTGAGCATTGTGTCACTCATGTCCGCGCCGCTGACCAGGAGCGAGCTGAAATGCTGCGTTAGCCGCTGCAGGATAGCCTCAGGAGTTCGCAGCAGAGCGCCGTCAGCCGACAGATTACCGGCTTCAAAGCTACTGGCCTGCCTGCGCACCCCCACAGGGTCCATGCTGCGCACAGCCTTCTAGAAGCACGTGAAGTCGCGCTGCTGCCAGAATTGCTCGGCCTCAGCCGCCTGCCGCTGCAGCTCGCGCTGCCGATCCCCTTGAACGAAGGCGGTCACCGCGCGGCAAAGCCGCCGATAGTGTCTGCGACACTTGTCCCGATGCTCACTGCCTAGAACTGACCGCTGCGCTGCCGCCCACGCCGCAATCTTGGTTGGCCTCGATCAACCGCTCTGTCCGCGGGCTGAAGTGACACGGCAAACGCCGCGCGGTGCGGCGTGTGCCCAAGGCTGCTGCGGCAGCTGCCAAGGCAACATCGCTGAACACCGAGCACGAGGCCTCGACGTCTTCAGCAGCTAGCGGCGTGTCCGCTGCTCGCATGCGGGTCGGACAGGCTTATCAACTGGGCCGGCAAATGAGGGTGGCCCGTGTGTGCATCAGGAGTCTTGCGCATACTGTAACCTCAAGTGCATGGGGCAGCCGCATCGATGCCAGTTTGATCAATCGCTGCAGTCACAAGCCAGCAGGCCACAAACAAGGGTGGGCGAGCGTTCCAAGGGGTGGGTTGAGCGATGTAGCTACATAGAGAACTTTGGGACGAAAATCTGCCAAAGAGCTTGGTTGCAGCTGCAAGTTTAATGTTGCTGACACTGTCATGATCGTGTACCTTTCAATGACCAGTACCTCGGAGTCGTAGGCGGTCACCTTGTCACCGGGGCCTGGCAAGCTTGCAGCAAGCGATAGACACTGGGTGGCCAGCAGCCTACCGCACAGGTGATTCAATGTATCGAAAGGTACTGGCTGGAATGCGTACGGACAAAATTATCACAATCGATTTGAGCACACTGTTGCTTGCCGCATTCGCCATGTGTAGAGTCTCTGGTGGGGGCCACTCCAGGCGCCACAAGGTATTCAGGTCCTCGTCATTACATGCATACGCATGCTAAGAGCGGGTAGATTGAAGACGCTGCATTTGCATATGAGTTTTGGACAAGCGGCACCTCTTGCCTGTAGATTGCGACCCCAGTCACACCGTTCAAATGGCTGTCCAACTGCGTGGCTGCGTGGTGACTCTTGAAAGACGGACTCAGCCATTCGACACACGGTACGACCTCTAGCCAGGCATGTTGAATCACGGCCTCTAAGGCACGCTCTTCGTTGAACCTACGTCGGAGTCGAGTCACTCGTTGAGTTTTTTGCGGCGGTCCAAGCCCCTCAGGGCGGGGCCTGCTTGGCGTGACTATCCATCCTCTACAGAACAGGAATCTTATGGCAATGGACCCATCCACGCGGCGTCGCACCGGAGGCGTCCTCCAGGCCCTTTTGCTGTTGAGCCTGGCTGCCCATTGCTGCGCGCTTGGCGGGCTGCGGTTGGCTGTCGTGGGAGATTTTGGTTCTAAGGACGCCGGCGAGCTCGCCGTTTCCAACCTTACACAAGGCTGGGATACGCCGTCAAAACTGGTAGGTGCTTGGCCAGTGTCGTGATCTCCCCCGCTGGATCTTCGTTGGTGGTTGGCACCTGGGCGCTTTGGCACTGTAAAGCTCAAGTTTGCCTCACGATGCACTAAATGCTGCTCTCTCTGCTGGTGTCGCCCCGCGGGCCTGGCCGGGCCGGGCGTAGTCAGCGGGCCAACATCATCACCCCCCACCGCGCCGCGCGACCCTAATCCACCTTTGCCACTTTCGCAGGATGCGGTCATCAGCCTCGGCGACAATGCATATTTCTTTGGTCTCGCCTCCGAGATCCAGGAGCGCATCCCTCCTTACTACGGCTGGGCCATCACCACGGATACGGCCACAAACCGCTTCTGGCCCTGCCCCGGCAACCACGTGCGTGCGGTTGGGAGAATAGGAGGAGCAACGCGAGCACTGGCTACACGGCAAATCACGCAGCTCTTGAATGCTTGCATTGTGCTGAGTGCAGCGTTGGCGATGTGGGGCATTGATCGGCATACACGCGCGTCAAAGTTCGCAACAAATTTGTCGAGCGCACGGTTGCGCACCTACCGTGTCGAATTACATGCTACCCCTCAATACCCCATACCTCGCTGGCAAACGGCCACCACTCTATGCACTGCCCCAAGCATGCACCCGGGTGCACGCAGCTGCCCCGTGTCTACGCCCAAACCTCTCCTGGACCCCGCGCCGCCGCCCCCTCGACACGCGCCGCTGCCGTTAATTCCCGGACCGCCCGCAGGATTGGGGGGGCCTTTGCAATGACCCCAAGGGCCTGGACCCTTACCTGGCGTATTTCAAGGCCCTGAGCAGCAAGCCCAACCCGCGCGTGTACGAGCACATAATCGGCGAGCTCCACTTCTTCATGCTGGACAGGTGGGGCGCATGCACGCAAGCGCACATGACTGTGCTGGGTTGCAACCGGAGAGGGCAGCCGAGGCGACGACTACTGGTGCAGGCTGCTGGGCTCGAAAAGCTTTTTGGTGACTGCACCCAAACGCTTGGTGTGCTCACCCACCTCGGTCCCTGGGCTGCCTGCCGCTTTGCACCGCCGCTCGCAGCCACTGCAGCGAGCCCCTGGGCGTGACTGTGACCTCTCAGCAAGCGGCATGGCTGAAGGCCGCGCTGGCTGCCTCTACGGCGCCGTTCAAGGTGCGCGGCTGGCTGGCCAGCCAGCCCCCATGGGGCGAGGCCTGCTGAGGCGCGTGTTTGCGTGCAAGCTGCAAGGCAGCTGCTGCGGGTGGAGAGAGAGAGAGAGAGAGACTACGCAGGCTGTGACGCCCGCGTGAATTCAGGAAGGGGGGGCTGGCTTGCGGGGGCCGAGGCCGCCGCGCCGCCCCCCCACCGTGCGGGTGGCATGAATCACCCACATTGATCAACTTTACTGGCCTCACCTACCTGCTGCACACGCGAGGCCTGCTGCCTCCCGCGCCGCTGCATGCACCACTCGCCTACAGCTGACGCGACCATCCGCTGCAACCCTTGCCTTGGTGCTCGCCCTCGCTCCCTTTGCTGCAGATCGTGGCGTTCCACCACCCGCCCTTTTCCTCGTTCCGAGGTTACCAGCCCAACATGGATTGGTGAGTTGCATCGACCAACACCACATTTCCCATCCCACCCACAAACGGCTGTTGACGATCGCGCCTGCCGAGTGTGCATGGCACCACGCACGTGCTTTGTGCTATCCAAGACAAGCGAAACCACTGCCCTACCGCCCCTGGCAGTGGTTTTGCCCTACCGCCCCTGGCGCGGCCATGAGCCCTTGCATGTCCTGTCCGCCCGCTTGACCCCCTCTGCACCCGCACCGCCGCCCCCGTCAGGCCGTTTGCGGAGTGGGGCGCGGATTTGGTCATGGCCGGCCACGTGAGTCGTCAGCCGTGACGCTGCTGGTGCACCGAGCAGGCACACCCTGACACAGCGGCCCGCCCCTGATCTGGCACACCGTGCGGGGCCAGCGTACACACAGGGTCGACCCAGCTGCGCTGCATGGCACCGCGGCACGCACCCGTAGCTAGGCGGGCCGGGACGGAGGCTGTCGTGCGTGCGAATCCTCACAAAGCGCTCCTCGCATGCATGGGCCCCGAATTCGCAGGATCACATTTATGAGAGGCTCGACAACCCGAGGAAGGTCCCCGGCAAGGACGGCTTCCCCTACTTTGTCAATGGCGCGGGTGAGGCCTGCTGGAGGGGCGCGGGTGGTCTGGGGGGGGGGGGTCACTCTTGCCACGCTCCAGGCATGCACATGGCTTGTGGCGGCGACCGCAAGCGCCGTCCTGCTCCCTCGAGAGCCAAGGCCTTGGCCGCTAGGGGCAAGCAACGCAGGCTGCCGCGACCAAAGCAAACCTCACACGCAGTCTCTGCATTTGTGCTGGTGCCTCAACAGCCCTCACGCCATCCATTACCCGCAGGCGGCCAAGCGCTCTACACCTTTTCGAACCCCCAGCCCGCCTCGGCGTTCAAGTACAAGTCCGACTTTGGGGCGCAGCTGCTCACCACCAAGTACCGCCCCTTTGCAAGCGGCGCCTACTACGATCTGGACCTCGCGTTTTACAGCGCGGGCGGCGGCCTGAACGGCGGCACCCTGCAGGAGTGCTACAGGATCACCAAGCTCATCGGCACGGGCATCACCCCCACGACGACGTACACCGCCGCCTGCCCGGCCGTGACGGCGCAGAGCGACTACTCGCTGCTCACGAACAAGCTCGCCCCGGCGTTCGCGCCGTCGCCGCTGCAGAAGTGGAGGTACTTCAACGCCGGCAAGAAGGCGCTGTCTGTCAAGTCGTGGACCGCGCTGGCTTACGATGACTCGGCGTGGTCGGTCGGCGCCAGCCCCCTGGGCTATGGCGCGGCCAACGTCACTTACAGCACCCAGCTGGCGATCAACTCGGACTTCAAGGGCAAGGCGCAGGCGTTCTACTACTTCAGGACAGTGCTGTGCCTGGCCTCTGACGTCGTCGCGCAGGTGGGGCCGGGGCCGAGGGGCGCCAGGCAGTGGACGCACGTGGGT